GCACTGGCACAAGCCTTTCCAGACGAGTGTACCCTACTGAGACATGAGCTGTAGAAATTGAGTTACTACCATCACTACGTCTTTCGCTGTTTGTTCTGTGCTCATCCCGACTACGTCACAAGGGAAAAAAAGGAGGAAGGAGGAGGAGGAAGGAAGGCGATTGAGGCAACTGTACACAACAGTTTGTACATTCCTAACAAATAAAACAAAAACTTGACCCGCCCACACAAATGTGTTAGTGAATCAGTTAATGCATTCCTCCAGTGATGAATAGCGTGCCTGTGTTCGGATGCAGCATTTAGATGAAGGTGAGCCCTACGGCTTCCCCCGCACGACACGACTTCAAAAATAAAACACCACCGCACAGCGCAATCCACTTTAGTTAATTAACTTACCGCTCACAGGTAAAAAAACGTAATATTTCCTCCTACCAAAGACATCTCACAGCTACTGTGCACAGTTGATTTGAAGTCAACAGACTCGTTTGCATTGCGACTCGGTGCAACCAGTTGCCATCGCCGCCTAAATACGACCTCGTGGCACACACTTGAAAGGCTAGCGGAGAATGTGCCAAGAAACTTTAAAATTGCATGCAGGCTAATTAGTAAATCGCACTTCTGTTTGATCAACTAAGCCCTCTCCTCCTCTTCATCACCCTGTTCTCAATTCCAAGTAAAGATTTCGTAGAAATGCAGAAAAACTACATAAGCCGATTCCGAGCAGCATATTTTGCATTTTAACTATTGCAATGCTGTTACTTTGAGGGGTAAGACACTCGCTTTCTCTCGCCTTACGGTGTGGACTCAGGAGGAGGAAACCCACTGACCCATTTCTCACAAAATTTTGCAGCCTACGGAAATTCTATTCGGGAACTGATTTGAGACTGCCGGGACGACAAAGTTAGGCGAATGAAAAGAATACTGGAGGATTTGGAGGGCCAGAAAAATGGAATTGTGTGGCAAAAGTAGGTTCACGGTTGGAGGCAATGATTTGATAGAAGGAGCCAACAAACCAAAGATATACATTTGCTCAATGGGGTGATAATGTTGGGAAAGGTGGAATTTCGTATCAAAGACACAAAGTTCCAATACTATTTGGCCACACAAAAAGTGAAAAAGCTTCAAAGTAAGGGGAGAACATCCAAAGGCAAACTTTCATTCCAACAAGGCCCATGCCAAAACCCCAGTGACCTTAGGCATCCGCCTCAATAGCCGAAAATGTTTTGTTGAGAATAAAAACGGATTTTAACGAATCAGCGTCATTCGACTAACAACGGGTTGTATGCAATAACAAAATACAATGGGAGCGTCTTTCATGATTCCTCAGCATAATGCTTGTTCCACTGAATAAACACAGTCTTCAATAGAAAACAATGGGAGCTGCATCCTCCGGAACAACATTGCCTAGACTTAAGTAGTTGATCGCCACGCAACAGTTTGCATTCATTATTTGTGCTGTTCTCGAAAAGCATCCAATACTACTGCATGCATCCAATGAAATGAAGCCAAAAGTCTCACACACCTTCCCCAATTTCCTCTCCATTCGCCCCTTGACGACCTTCCAACGATTGCAACGCCTCCACCTTCACTTTCTCCACCTCTCCCTCCTCCTCATGCTCTTGTTCCTTTCGTCGTCTTCGTGATCGCATTTGTACGCGTTCCTCGTCCCAGCCTTCAGACAGGAGGGGTGGCAGGACAGTGGCGGAGGCAGTGGTGGGAACACCGGTAGCCTGCAGAACAACAACGCTTCTATCCTTCACAGGCGTAGGATCAAGAGCCTCAATAGAATGCGAAGTGGAGACGCAATTGCTGAGATCCTCCGCTGGTCTAGAGACGCAAACATTACAAGGCAATGCATGATGTTGCTGCCATCATAAAGCAAGTAAGTTGGTGCTTAACTTCGATGCATAAAATTGACTTGACTCGGAGCGTGTCGAAATTGATGACATACAATAATGACCTCACAATATCAAATGCATTCCACCCTACTGACAAATCAAAGCACGACTTTTGATGTTAATGGTTCTTCCAAAGCACTGATCACAATGAAATCACCGCTGTCCCTATCGAAGTTGCGATATAATGTAATGAAAGGCAAACAACACTGT